CCTGTTTCACGCTGTGCGATGGTATCCTTTCGCTTTGCAATCGCAGATACAGAGATTTTGATATAAATCAGATCCGATTTTACAATGATTTTTTCAGAAAGTCATATATTGGTAACGGGTGGACCAGACTGCGTGATTCGCATTTGGAATCCGTTTATCCCCAGGAAAGCAAATGCTGTTTTGTCAGGGCACCGATCGACTATCTGCGCGCTTATCATAACTAACGCCGGCAATCGCATTTATTCCTTGTCAAAAGACAGATGCGTAAAAGTATGGGATGTTCCAGCTCTTAGCTGCATTCAGGTATAGAAAAATTACAATTCTTAGATGCAATAGTCTCCTTTTTGTTGAACATTTTTATTTTTCTTATCGTTTTATAAGTCATATTTTTCTTTTAATAAATAATAGAAGATATGTGTACAATTCGTAAACAGACATACAACAAATTACCGTGTGAGCTAAGTGAATACACTCCGATGACGGTAGTGTTCAACACGCTGACCTGTACGATGATTATTGCCAGCATGATGATAGCTGTTCTCGTTTGCGAGCACGTAATTAACGAGGAAACCTCAGACGGCTATACGCACACCAAGGGCGTTAGTTGTGTCCTGTACAATCAGCTCTTCCGTGTGGTAACTTTCTCTTTTATCCGAAAATCATTAATAAAATCATTAATGAAAATTGAATTATTTAATAAAACAGTTGCATAATTCAATAAGATAACACACAGTTGCACAGTTTTAATAAAACAATGATATATGTTATTTTATCGGAATGCAGATTGTTTCTACGGGATTGGATTCATGCATCATCGTATGGGATCCATGGTACGGACGCCGTTTACGTTTGATACCACACGCTCACAGTGTTATACAATATGGACAGTACGCCGACATCGAGATCACGGCGGCGTGCTTCGATGATTCGGAGCAATTTTTAGTGACTGGCGCAAGAAATGGTTCAGTGAAAATATGGAATTACAATACCGGAATCTGTATACGCGATATGATAGTTGATCATCAATGGTACAGCGGATATTAAATAACTGCTCTTTTTCTCACAAATTATGTGACATTCCATATTAATAGCGTTTTTCCTAGTGCATTTAAACAGTATGCTTATTCTTTTTGGCTAAACTTTTGCACCAATTCATCCTTCTTTTTTCTTCCTGAAGAGAAAGGAAGATGAATTGGTGCAAAAGTTCAACTAAAAAGAGCAGGTCTAGTATACTGTGTTTCTACGATTATGGTAGTGCAAGTTTTATACACAAAGTGAGATTTTAGCGCAATAATGAAGTTATATTATACACTATGGCATGCACCACTCCAGTACAGTATAGCGCTTACACACGACTGGTACAGTGCAAGGCTATACCCAGTGTATCCCAAGGGAAAACGTCATAAATTACAAAAAGTATTGTAATTGGAAAATTATGACATTTTCGAAAAATTATTTATACAATTTTCTTTCCAAAAGTTTTTTGTTGCAGTTATAATTAGAGACAAAGTTACTTAAATTATAGTAAATTCAATCACTCGCACGACAATGGCTGCGTTCAGCAGAGAAAGCAGCTTTGCAACTGTTGTAAAATTCTTCAATGTAATTGATTTAATGTTTAGATCTATAAGGAACCGAAAGCAAAAACTAATCATATTGAAGAATTTTACAACAGTTGCAAAGCTATTTTCTCTGCTGAACGCAGCCAATGAATCAGTGCATAATGTGAAAGTGAATAAAAAAGGTCACTGTTCTGTACGTATGTAAGCAGAGTTGCGGCAGATTCATAAGTGAGGTTTGAGGGAGCAGGTGACTTTTTGACAAGTGATTAATATAATCGAGAATCTTCTGAAGTTAGTCACGTATCACTTTTAAACATGATTATTCGCTTGATTATCGGAATGTCCCCGTCTTTGGGCGGTATTCATAGTCGATTCTTATATTTAAGACTGTTTTAAGTACAGTATTTAAGATGTATGGATCAATCAGAGAACTGCATTAACATCTTAAGACATTACTTAAAACGATCTTAAAATAAGAACGGACTATGATACCGCCCTACTTTTTTATTCAATATACAACATTGACCTTACTTTTTAATTTTCCCTCGTATAATTAACTTTTTGACAATAAAATAATATATTATATTCTGTTAACTAACATGGCAGTAATATTATCATTTATAATCATTTAAAATACATATTTATATACTTTTACACTTTGCTAATTTCACACAGCAGCTTTTAGTATATATTGATCCAATATAATAGAAAGGTTTATCCGCGTCACATGCAAGCTTCTACGCACTCTAACAAGCACGATGCTATAGTAGAAGCATGTTGGTGCGTGGGACGTGAACAAATCTGAATAATTCGCTGTCAGAGAATATCTTCTAATGTTACTTTTCGTCGATATCATGAGCGATATAATAAATTTTCATTTCACATTATTTTTTTCTACAGCGAAATAACGAACATCACATGGTATGAAAATCGAATTCTGTGCTGCGGTTGGAATAAACACGTGACAGAATTGTCGATTTTCGAATCTGATATATGCAAAAAGAATTGGACGACCAGTCACACCGACGACATTCTATGCTTGGCTGCGAGATATCCACAGCTGTTAGCTACCGGATCGTACAACGAAGAATTAATTCTCTGGAATCTTGAAACGGGCCAGCCTTTTAGAAAGTATCAAGTGACTGATGTTAATAGGTGATGTCAACTTGATATTTTCATGAACAATAATTGACACAGTAAATGTTAGCAATTTACAATCGAAGGCTAATTGACTTAATAGGTCCACGAGAATGACGGACGCACAAAAAGAGTTTAGAAAATTGAATGAGATCAGTGGATCCGTCAATCAGCAGATTAAGTAAATAATAATGCGCTTATGGCTACGAAAGAAAAAGTTTCTTTTGTCGAAATGTTTTAAACCGTTTACGTAACGATTCCTTGTGAAATAGAAAATTAACTCCATGTACCCATCAAGAGTCAGCATTGAACATTGTTCGCGTAACTGCGGTACGCACGATAATCTTTCTAGCAACGCGAGAAACGAAACCCAATGTCGGCACACTGCTGGTCGCCCTCGATTCCGGTTTGATACAAGTATGGACGCATCATCCTGCGGCGGGATTTTTAGGGGCTTTTTCGGTCATACACACTGTCGGTGACTGTGCCACGTCCTTAGCTACCGATCCTGAAAATCAATTTCTTGTAACAGGTTTTGGAACTTTCTAAAGATTTGATTACATCCTTTTCACAGTTAAATCTTTTTTCGAATGTCTACAATTTTATTCCTAAAACTTCCCCTTGAAGGTCATAGTATAGGGTACATAAAAGTATGGCTTCTCTCTAATTACATGCTACCAAATCCACCGAAAATTTGCATGCCGCTACTAAGATTAAAATTCCCATTTTTATGGAAAGATAAAATAGACGGAAGAGCGAAGAGAGCAGTACGAAATCAAATGCTGCCACTTCTGCTGTCATCTGTGCGTGGTCATACGCAGGGAATCACTTCTCTTCAAATCATTTCTAGCGCGCGAGTGATAGTCAGGTATATACAATTATTATAAAAGTTTTGATACAGGTGCATCTCTTTACTAAAAAATTTAAATAAACGATAGCGGTAGCGCAGATCGCACAGTACGTTTGTGGAGTTATGGAGGTCGTTATATATCAACACTGGGCACGTTTAGAGATTGGATCCCGATTCTGCCTACTGTGCCCGTGCAAAAATATTTCGAGGATTATAAGCTTCCAGCCGACATAATTAGAGGATTTGCCAGTTCTACCACTTTGAAGGTACATTTGAACAAAATATATATGGGAACGCAATGTACACATTTGGGATGGTGCAAAGGTACTTCATGGTGGTATGAGAAGATTACCGATAGAGATTGAGGAAAAGGAAATCGACATCTCAAAAGAAACTCTCGAAGAAGAGCAATATATGTTGTACGGGAAGGAATTCGATAGTCTTGTGCTCAAGACATATTATGAATCACAGTTACCTGAAAACACCTATCAGAAATATCTGCGATTAGACAATACTTTGCCATACGTGAGTACATGCATATACAATTATACATACTTTGTATGTATTAAAATATATATTTTGTAAGATTCGTTATATGTTGTTATATATAGCGGATTCGGTTGGACGCACTAGTGCATATTAATAATCTGTGTAAAATGCAAATATTTCGAATTATAAAATACAGACTTTACTTAACAGCACAATAAAATATATTGAGGATTTCATTGTTTAATCCATTTTTATATTTATATTGAACACATATTTTTATGTAAATGTGTACGATGGCTTTAATGTGTGCATGAGTGCGCAATGAGTGTGTACTGAGTGCATACAATCGAATTCGCTGTAATACAATTTCAACTTGTAAAAATTTTACATTTGTAGATACCAATTTATATGTATTTACCAACCTACTCTTTAAAACCTGTTGAGGCGCAGAAAACACTCCTGCTTGGACAGAAAATAGAACTTACGTATGGATTTTTAATTTTATTCGGAACCATTGAAAAGATATCACACAGTGTCCGTCGAATACTTTGAGATATATATATATATTTTTTAAAAATATTTATAATTACAGTAAAAAGGTATACTTAAGAAGAACAATGAAATCACTGCGCTCTTCTGTAATACAAAGAGGCAAAGGCACTTCCACAAAATGAAATCTACCGCAATGCTCGCCATCATTTTAACCTTATAAACTCTTGCAAAATGTTAGTATATATATTAAAACAGTACATATTTTACACATTGTATAAATTAAAATGAGAATTAATTTACTCAAGTTAGTAAAACTCGCATTCATAACGATTATTTTTTTATCTAATTATTTACTAAGTCGATTATCTAATTATATGTAGGCTTTACTTCTTCTTCAGCAAATATGTGATAAAATATAAATAAGTAAAAAAATTAAACATTGTCAAATCATGAAGATACCTACGTACATGCATCATCATTCTATGAATATTGAGATATAACAACGAACAACATGACTTCATGTTTGTCGAATTAAAACAATTTACCTTAAACATTATTACATTTCACATGGATACAATACTATATTTAATGCCTCTGATTATATCCACACGTATTTCTGTGATATTAATTTTTTAAAGGCAATTTTTGTTCGACAAACTCGGGTTCCATCATGGAAATACGCGGTGGCGTTTTCCAGATTGCACTGGATGTACGTTTCAATCGATTTCTATCTATGCCATGGAATAATTCAGTCAAATCTGGTGTGCACTTACGAGTATTGAAGAATTTACTAACTATTCCTTCGGGAATGTATTGTTGCATCGCAAGTTGTGCTTTGCGGATGTGCGCTGCAATTAAAAAAGAAACACATATTCATATTCTTTTCTTCTTATTTTAATGATGATTAAAGATATAAAAGAAAATACACGTACCCTGCGCCCAATACGGTATCTCGTGCTTCGGTTTGCTTTCATCGTCTGATTCTTCATCATCATCAGGTTCACTATCTAACACATAATTCACAGTACCTTGATACTTATTATTAGTCTGTTGTTTATGCTGCAAAAAATCAATTAAGCGATTTATCAATTTTGAGTGAAAGTAGGATTTAAGTAATTTTTTCTCCGTCATAAAAAGATAACTCACTTTGGCTTGGGCCGCAAGTAACTGATTTTTCTGTTTCAAAGCTTCGGCAGCGGCTTGTTGAGCCCTTGCTTCCGCTTCCCTTCGTCTTTCAGCTTCTTGTTCTCGACGTCTTTGCTCGGCCAACAGACGTTCCGTTTCCTCTTGTTCTTGTAACCTTTGCAATCTCTGTTGCTCTTCCAATTTGCGACGTTCTTCCTTCTCCTGTATTCGTTGCAATTGGGCAAGACGCTTCTTCTCCGCTTCCTCGCGATGCCTTTCTTGAGTCAAAAGAGCTAATTTTGCCTTCTCTTCCCGTTCTTTCTCGGTTTTCTGCCGTTTCTCTAATTCTTGCTTCTCCTTAGCTTCTCTTGCTAATTTGTTTTTGAGTTCCTTCTCTTGCCGCTTCCTGTATACAAAGTATATATCGAGATATTATACCGCCTGTACGTCTTTTGATTAGCATTATGAAATTTTTGTATACCTTTTCTTCTCCTCCGTCTGTAATCTCAAAGCTTCGTCTTTCTTTTTTCTCGCGTCTTCCTCGTGCCGTTTCTTTTCCTCTAACTTTTCTACCGAATTGGAAGTTGTAATAGTTTTTGGTAATTTTGTAATAGGTTGAATGAAAGACTCCACGCCAATAACAATATTGTTGCGCGAGGCAGTTAAAATTTTTGGATACTAAAATAAAAGTATGTAAACAATATCTTTATTTTAGACCGTATATGTGAGAAACACAATCAATACTAGAAATTAAAAATTTTTTGCCTCGGTGGTGTAATGGCTTAGGACGCTCGTACGGAATACAAGAGATCCGGGTTCAAGTCTCGACCGAGATAATATTTTTCGCAATAAATTTATTAACAGTTTTAACATATTAACATCTTTATAATATATGATGCTTGATGGTAGTATCAAATTATTAATTACTTGTCAATTTATTTCGCGATTGCTAAAGTAGTTTTAATTGCGTTTATTTAGTTCCGAAAAATAATTCGGCGCGCAGTTTGAAAAAGACTACAATATGGTATGTATGCAAGTACATATATAGTATATATTAATAATTCAAGATTGAATTATTTAAGCAACAAAGATCCAGCTTCGACCGTAATAGGCATATTTTAATTTCTAGTAGAAGTATGTAAATAAATAAATATGACAAAATTTTATCTTTCTTAAATTGCACCTTTCTTAAATAGACCTGTCCTTTTTGGCTGAACTTTTGCACCAGTTCATCTTTCTTCCTCTTCTTTCCTCCTGGAGAAAAAAGGAAGATGAACTGATGCAAAAGTTCAGCCAAAAAGAATAGGTCTATATTGCGATTTAAGAAAGATAAAATTTTGTATTAATCTTACGTTCGAAAGATTTTGCGTGTTTGAAGGGGTATGAAGACGATTAAGAGACAGTACAGGCTGCATCAATTTTGTCTTGCTTAAAGGTGTCGTTTTCAACTGTTGCATTTTTACATTTGATTTATCAGTTTGGGTCAGTAATTTATTAATTCGTTCTGGCAGTTGTTCTTTGTTCTGAAAGAGAAAGTTTAATTTATTGCTAATGAAATACAGCAGTAAAAGAGAATAGAAGAGATTAAAATAATTATAAAGTATAAATAACCACAGATTCCTTTACCTCTTTAAATTCATTATTGTTTTTTTGTTTCGCTAACGAAATCTTCTTAGCTTTAGCGAGCGACTTACGAGCTAATATTTGCGCAACATTTTTCTCCGTTGTTTTCGCTCCTGCCTGCATTTCTGCAGTGGCCATTGCACGAGTTTTCGTTCTAGTTATTCTGGTTGGAGCATCTATGTCGACAGACTTCGGACTATGCATAACCGCTTGTTCAAATGCTTCAACTCGCTTCTTCACAGATTCTTTTGCATAAGGACTAAATAATGCATTAGATTTATATGTTTTACTTTCTTGTGTGACCGTGGACACATTTGCGTTTTTGAGGGTTTTCACTGGTATATTAGAGGTTTCCTCGCTAGATATCGCTAACATATCTTCTGTTTCTTTTTTATTAGGCTGCTTCCTATTAAGTTGCTTCTTCGGTCTTATCACTTCAGGCGATGATTCATCGTCTGTAATTAATTCATTATAGTCATCATATTGTGCAGGTGTTTTGTATGCTTGCGTATTATTTGGCAGTGTGTTCTTAGTATTTTCTGTTTCTTTCAAACTACTACTATTTTTTATGTTTATTGCCTTCTGAATCACCACTGTTTCATTTAATTTTGGTGGTTGATTTGGTAAACGGTCTAATACCACAGTAGCATTCAATTCCTTTTTGGACATAAACGGGCTATATTTTAGAGTTGAGTTCATAATTGGAACAGGCCTTCCAACTGCATCTTCATACATAGATGGTTCTTCGATATCATCTATATTGGGCATAATGGCATCATTCACTGTATTCACTTCCCTATTCTGAGAACTCTTAGAGCTTCTTCTACTAGAGCGTCGCAGAACTGGTAATTCAAAGTTATTTTCATTGACCTTAGCTTTTTCAGTAATTTTTGATTTTTCAATTGAGGTTGTAGGCTGAACGATCTGTTTAGAGTTCTTCCTTGTCACTCTTTTTGTGGTTCCTTTTATATCTGTTATACTTTCTTCGACTTTACTGTACTTGGAAACATTCTCATCTTCATCAGAACTGCTTATATTGTATTTCTTTCTTTTAATGTGGCTTTCTCTCTTTACCTAATATTCATAAAATTATATATTATATAATATTCTGTAACTTAAAAATCAACTTGTAATACCATAAGTATGATATTGAAAATTATCATTACTTACTTTCTTTTTGGAATTATTAAGAATGGAGCTTTGTTTCCTGATATTATCCTCTGCTTTTTTGGATGCTCCTCTTTTGATTCTACCTCCCATTACCTCGTTCTCCTTTTGCTTCTCTTCATTGATAGAATAAAGGGAACTAGTTGGCGAGATATTTTGAAGCACCTCGTCCTCGAGTATGGTTTCGATGTGTTGGACAACCTTCTTTCGCAGCATCTTCGGCGTTTTTGCCATAAGTGGGCCGGTCGACGGTTGTGACAAATGCACCAACAACTCATGCAGGTGGGACATACTGTTTGTAAGAGCCTCGGCAAGACGATTCGACAGTTCAACACCATGATTGTGAATAAATAGCAGATCCTTGTGAATAATATCTCGGATCTCGTCCTTCGATCGAGAGTTCATGGCGCCGGAGAAGATTCGTTCTTGTACGTCAATCTCCGCGGTAGAGATAAATATCAGTTTAATTTAATTTTTATCTAGGCAATACGAATCTCAGCAACATTACGACATTGCTGCGGAATAGCACTAACAGCAACAAAAATAATAATAATAATAATAATCACACGACACAAAACTATAAGATTCGGATGAGTTACGTATCGAACGCTGGTTGCTCTTTAGCGGGTACATCGATGATCGAAATGAATCAGAATGTCCATCCCCAGCCAGCCGCCACACCACAAGGATAACGACTTTTTCCGTTTAATTTGAATCAAGACATTGGCGACATCTGTAACCGCCATCGATTCCGTCTGCGTCCGCGAGTATGTACTGGGTACTTTCCAATTGCAATATCCCTAGACAATTTCGTGCACACTTATGCCTCCGGCACACCAGCGCAATGTTCGTCGCGCGCGACACTCGATATCCAATGAGTGTACAGCTTTACCGATGTTCTCATTCTAAAGGTATACTCTCATTGGATATCGCGTGTCGCGCGCGACGAACATCGCGCTGGTGTGCCGGAGTTATTAGCCCGGATCCTCATACGGGCAACAGCGCTTTGACACCGAACATCGATTGGTGAAAAACGGATGATGAAGGTAAATTTTACCCCCACAACCGGCTTTTCACCAATCAGAACTCTGTGTCAAAGCGCTGTTGCTCGTATGAGGATCCGGGCTAAGCCTTGTGCCCATGATGTTAGAAATCAGTCCGAGACTTTGGATGAAGTAGAGTCCTAGATTTATCAGAGAGGCGCAACCGGTGTTATGCATTCTGATTCGCTGTTGCAATCTGACCAATTGCGTGACTTGGCAGCCATTTATAATACTAGTGACATATTTCTATTTCATTTTATCTATACATTCTATCTCACATTATCCTACACGTCTTATCTTGTTTGACATAGATTAAAGGCAGTTTCATAGCATGTCGGCCATGTTTAGTACTCTCCTTAGCACCTTTGTCATACTGACTTAAGCCGGTTGCGCCTTTCTGATAAATCTAGGACTCTAGAATGAAGAAAGAATTGACTAATCGCAATGGTCATGTGATCAAATTGTTCAAATGCGATTTGTTAATTTTTTCTCTGTCCGAGATCTCGAACCGATTTCTAGTATCGTGGACATTGGGCTTTATAGCATTTTCGATTGGGATGCACTGGCTGCACTCAGTGGGTGCTTTCCAATTGCTTAACACAAACGTACACAGGAATGCACAAAGTGTAACGTTGTGCACGATTCAATTCGAGCAAAATGTGTACGTTGTGCACGGTTGAGATCCGTTTCGGATGGAGTTAGATTAAATGTAGCTTTTTCCGCTTGTATAAAACAAAAAAAAGTAAGCTTACACAGCCCTCGACTGAGTACGGATGTGTCGACGATAACGGACAATTGGAACGCAACTTGTGTTGCCGTATGCACGAAAGTGTCTAGGGATATTGCAATTGGAAAACACCCAGTGTCAAGAGCGTGTTCGATTGGCAGTGCCAATGCGCACTTGGCTAGTGTAACGTGTTCATTTGACCGCACGACACTCGCGTAGTGCGCACTCAGTGCGCACTAAGTGGTACGAGATATTTTAACAGTGCCAGTTCAGTGCACTGGATATATAAGGTCTGTTTTCTGTGGCTGAACTAGTGTACACTTTTGGAACTTAAAGTGGGATAGAAATACGTTTGATTTTTATTTAAAGCGAGAAAGAGAGTTCTAGAATAGTCTAATGCAGGAACAGAAAACAGATTAATATATAGAATATCAGAGCATCGTTTTGTCACAGTATAAGGATATACAGTAGAGGGACAAGTAAATCTGCGCGATTGAACTGAAAACGCAACATATGCAAATGTGTACAATTATTGATAAGTATGTATTATATATGATATTCTTGATATCTTATATATTATTTAATTACATATAGTAAAAAATCATTATTTAAAGTTATGAACATGAGATGTCGAAGTTATTTTTCTGCGTTTTTTCTGCAGTCTAGTCAAGTCCTTACAATCTTACAACTCAAAATGGCACTTCAGCTTTAGCACTGAAAATCTTGGCGTGTTCTTTTGAACTTGCACTATTCAGTGCAACCCATGGAACTCGTCCAGTGTTAAGTGTGAACTGAATGCGCACTGGTGCGCACTAACTTTTTCCCAATCAAAAACGCTATAAGATACAGCGAAAAAAGCTAAAACCCATGTTACTTATAGCGTTTTCGGCCCGATCGGGTTTGCACCAACCTGGGTTGGATTAATCTTTCCTATTGGTTGATGTCACACGCTCTACCAATAGGAGAGCGCAAAACGCCATTAATCCAACCTAGGTTGGTGCAAACCCGGTCGGGCCGAAAACGCTATTACAAAGGGTGATTTCACCTTTCGAACAGTTTTTCCGCTGTAACTAATATGTTCTAAATTCATCTTTTTATGTAACATATATGTATACAAAATTTTATTAATCAGAATTTAACACTGCGTGTGGTTCCTTTGTTAGGAGAATGTTTAAAATATAAAAATCAGCTTTACAATTTTTTATTACGATTTTATTATAGTAATCCTGTTTATTTCTAACATAATTAAGCCAAAAATCCATAAATTATAACTACAACTGCTTATGTAACTGTTTGTGCAACAGTCTAACTTGGAAAAGACAAATCCGTATCCTTTAAATTATCAGTGATCCATTTGCTAAATCTTTCTTCAATTTTCGGTGTAAACATTTTTTTCCAACCATCGGTTGTTCCTTGTCGAATAAACATATCCGACGATATCACAGTATCAGGACTCGGTTGATTCACCATAGGATTTTTGCGAAAATTCTCTATTTTTAAGTGCTCCTCTAACTTGGCAATTTGTTCATTGCTGTAAGTCTTATCGAAGAACGCAGCAATCTTTTTTATGTTCCCAGGTAAATCCTATGGAAAATAAGAAGATAATAAGATGTAAGAAGAAAAGTGTATTAACGTCAAGTATGCGCAGTCTTGACCAATTAGAATTGGGTCCAAATGCTCAAAAGTAATATGGCTGCAGCTTTGATACGAAGAAGTTTCAGGTTATGTGGATTACGTTTGTTACAGAGCTGTGTATGTGTGTTGTGTGTGTACTTGACCGGACAAAACTTCCGGTTGTAAAAATTATTATTTTAAATCGTTTGTATTTCGTATGAAGAGTTTTGAAGTGCGTAGCCGCCCCGAACCTAAGCATTACTGTCTACACACTCTATCCACATGGGTTTATTACCGAAAATTAAATAATTCCGATCGGAACTCATTCTAAGCAATTTCATAATACGTCCTGGAATATCAAAATACTAGAGAGACTACCTATCGTGTCTAACGGAATTTCCGTGACCGTAGCGCCTGTATTTATATTTCGGTCAAATACATGATATTTTAATATTTAATTAAAAATGTCTGGATGATTTACAAATGTTTTTAATGGTACTTCATAACTCTTCATACGAAATACAAACGATTCCATGTATAAACTTAGTTGAATTTAGATCCTGTTAATTATTTCGGTCAAGTACATGGTTCAAAAAAGAATGATTAATTGTAATTAATACAATGACTCATAAACCTTTTTATTTGCACTTCAAAACGGGTGGCACCCAGTTGGACACGGCTCAATTGGACACGAGCCACTCACAGCGCTTGAGACTACAAAGCTCCTAAGCACCGGTCGCTGTGATTGGTGATGTCCAATCGAGCCGTGATCAATCGGGATCATTCCCATATGAATGTGTATACTTCGTCTTCTTGATCATTAAGCCTTGTGTTCACGGTGCTAGAACTTCGAGTTCTTGGATCCAGGAATGAGTAGTCGATACTCATATTTGTATGGAAAAAACAGCAAGTTGATTGGCTATACATTTCTTTGTCCGACAATTCGAACCGAGTTCTAGCACCGTGAACACAGAGCTTAATTAGTGAATCTTATTATCTAAAGTTTGCGTTGGAATTTGTTGTATCACACCTGAACACGCGAACTTTAAATGATATTATTTGTTAATTTTAAATGTTTATAAATAACATTCAGTGGCTCGATTCGAAGAAATCAAAATATATAATGTTGGGCAACGAGCTAGATGTAAATACATAAAACGATTTAATGATATTACATTACACACAAATGTTTCGACTCCGATCGATTCATTTTCAATTTTAGGAAACAAATTTGAAATTACAAAATAATAACGTCGGAATATATAAACTTTAACAAATAAAAACGTCTGAATAGTATGAAATTGTAAAAAATCCAACTTAATAATGTGAGAGCAATTTTGCAACTGGAACTTAAAGATGCATTTGCCAACATTTGCATCACACCGGGAACATTTTTCACTTTTCCAATATGATTTATAATTGGCTTCCAACTTCTATGGTATATGTGTCTATGGTATCTTATATAATAAATAATACAGAGAATTTGTATTTTTAAAATATTTAAAATACAATTTGATCGATCATAAACGGACGATACTGGTTAATTTTGTCTACGTAAATGCTATATCTGAGGAATTTTTGCATGAATTTTATCTTTCGCATTGAAACGAGCATACACGAACAATCGAAAACGTGAGATTCAGGATAGATTTGCTTATTTAAATCATAAGATAAGTTTATAAATTTCAACAAAAATAAATGAAGTTATATATTTGTAACATATATTTCAATCGTTATAGGAATTTGGGCGACAACGATGTAATCGTGTTCACAGTTACAGTGTTTATTTTCGCGAAATGTTAGATTTAAACTTCTGTCCACATAAAAAGAATGGAAAAGGTGTACATTATACATAATAAAGTATTTCTTGCTTTACAAACACAAATTCTTTGCTTTAAAACCACATTTTTTTATTTTAAAACGCAAATTCTATGCTTTTAAAAATACAAATTCTCTGCTTTAAAAATACAAATTCTCTGCTTCAAAAATACAAATTCTCTGGCTCTAAAGACACAAAAATTATATGAGAAAATATTTTGCGCTGTTAAAGCAGGGAATTTGTCTCATCGGAGCGCAGTCCAAAAGTTAGGTTTTATTGAAGAACTTTTTTTGTTAATAACTTTTTAACGAACAACGAGCGACGGCTAAAATTTGTTCAAGGTCACTCGGGATCATGACCTTGACAACATATATCAAGGTCAAAGTCATTGGAGGATGGTCCCTTATATTGCATAATTACTGCATAATTACTTAAAAATAATTTTTTCTTTTTTACACGAAAGTGTAAAGTAGAATTTATTTCTAACCCACCTTCAACAGATTTTCGTAAAAGAGGAACATCATATTTGCTCTGTATCTCATCGCCCAAGCTTGTTTCACATGTTCCCAATATGGACTCCATAGTGCTGAAATTATGGAAATTTAGGTTCTTGAAAAATCGAGAAAAATTAAATTAAATTGTAACAATCAATAATATTTATACAATTAAATTGTAACAATCAATAATATTTTTTAAAACTTACTGTGATCATTCATGAAATTATTACAGAACTGTTCGAAAGTTCCCTGATACTGAAAATGTGTTATCACTTTCATGAAATTATACCACGAGACTACTACGTCTCTTGGATTTCTTGCGACATAAATAATCTAAAAGCAAAAATAGCATCTTTGAAAAGTATATATATTATCTATAGTTTTTATTTTTTAATATATTCTTCCCATACACCGAAAGTTTTCAAAAATATCTGAGAAATATTTCAACTGAAAAGTAAAACATTTCATAAAAATTGCGAAATATGTCTGCAACATTTCTGAGACAGCTCTGAAATAGCAAATTTCCGCAATTCTTGCACATGAAACCTTGCTGAAAGGTTGATAAAACATTACACAAAAAATCTGCAATCTTTTTGAAATATTACCAAGAAGATTTCAACTATTTCTAATAGTACTAATAATCGGATAATTTCGTTTTAAAGTTTATTGTTAAGAATACATTTTATGTCTTAATGCACAGAAAATTGAATAATGTTTAATTGACTCTTATATGTTCTTTTCACTTATATCTTTACTTACTGATAAGAGAAGAGTCCTTTACTAATTTATATTTACTTAAATAATATTTTAATTTATTATGTCGACATAAAAAATTTAAATATTGTTTAAGTATAAATTAAGCATATATTTAACCTTCAATTACATATCTAAGATTTTAGAATCTTAATTTACATGTCTGACTCCAAGTCATCCACGGCGTTTTTGACTGACTTTGTAATTATCACAAATTTTATTGTATATATTTAAAAAATTTTTTTCTCAGCATTTATCATATTTTTGTTCGTTTTTATAAATGAAACGGAACATTTAATATATATGTATGTTAATATACCTTGCAAGAGCTATTTACGACTGTCGGTAACAATTCGAAAGACATGTGACTTTTAATGAAACGTGGAGAAGACTGATTTCGCACAAATTCGATACTATATTTCTCCGTATTGATCCTACCAGGAATATTTTCCGTTGCAATATGATCGTCTAATATTGCTCCTATTCTAAAAATAAAAATATTTCTTTTGATATATTATATCAGTGACAAGGTACTATTAAAGACTGTCATTCTTACAGGAGTTCGTGTCCCTGTTGATATTTAAGTGATTAGATTAGAATTTAAGAGATTAGATTAGAATTTAAGTGATTAGATTAGAATTTAAGAGTAATAAACCGATAATATAGTACTAATTTTATGATTTATTAGTTTCATAGACATGTACATATATTCGAAATTAATAATATTCGATTTTTATTTAAAATTACGATTTTAATGTTACGTCCGACTTTATTTACAATTGGCGCATGATGTTTCAGAAATCCGGCAATCCAAAAATCAACCCAAAAATTTATAAATCCGTCAGTAGCTTCCCCTTGACAAATGTTTGGATCTGCCCTTGAATGTACATATAAGTAAATCCACGAATATATTGATAGTTGATATATGTTAATACATTTTATGAAAGAAAAACGTTCGGCTTATTACTCCGCGTGATTTATGTGGAAATACGTCATCTCATTATGGTCCTGAAGAATTATTCATCCGCCTTTTCCAAATTACGACAGTACGAAAACATCGAATCAAGGTAATGAGTGAATAAGTAAGTGAAAGAACGAGCGAGTGTATATACGAGTATTTCTTTCTCTCTATTTTTCGTGTATGTGCATGTGCGTCATCGCGTATAGTCAGCAGCGAGCGTCCGCCGTCCCGCATAATTACCAGCGGCCAGGGGCTCGGACTGAAAGGTTTTTTGGTTCGATTCC